AGATAATTATTCTTAGAAATATGCATCCAAGTTCTACCTGTGGCTATCTGGAATGATTTAAGCATGAAACCAAAATAGTACTTCCCAGCCAAACTCAAAAGCAGAGACAGCAGTCAAACTTTTAAACACAACATAAAAAAGTAGCAATCGCTCACAAATGCACCAAGTGACTGCATTGCAATGCTAATTTTACAGCTACTTGCTTTTGGCAAAAATCTTAAAACTGTCCATCAGAAAGTGAATTTTAAACCAAGGAGCTAAGTGGCACACAACTTTTATACAGCAGAGTTTAGCAGATTTCTGTTGAGTTCAAGGCCAGCCTGTCCTACATAGTCAGTCCTAGGTCAGTAAGAGCTACAGAGAGAGAGATCTCATTGGTTATAGCACTGGCTACTTTTCCAGAGGCCCTGGGTTGGATCCCCAATGTCCACATGGTAGCTCACAATTGCTTGCAACTCTAGAGCCAGAGAATCCAAGCCCTCTCCTCTGGCCTCTGCAGGTGGCTGCACACGTGTGGTGCATATACATGCAGCTGACCACTCACTTACTAAAAAGAAAAGAAATAAAATCTCAAAAAAATGTTTAATAATTCTTAAAAAACAAAACACTGAATTGTTTGTTTCTAAAAAGATTGCCATCACATTTGCAAGCCTCTAATCCTAGTACTCGGAAGTAGAATGAAAAGTTTGAGGCTAACTTCAGCTATATAATAAGGCTTTGTCTCAAAACACACAATCTAAATTGAAAATCAAATAGAACTAAAGCCCAGAACCAATATTTAAAACATGCAACCAGCTTTGTTTCTAAAATGTCCTAAAGTTGAGTATAACTCCAAATATTTGTAACTTCGTTGTTAAGATAACAGAAGTATATCTGATTGAAGTATTTAAAAGAAGCTGAGGCATCACTGCCTATAAATGTCTATAAAATTCTTTTCCATTTGACGATTCTCTTGTTCAACTAAAATGAAATACAGTATCACCCATTTTTCAGTGGGAAGAGGTGACAAACTTAGAGACAATGGCAAAAGCCTGAAAGCAAGCCCAAATCTATCTCTAGAGCCCTTCCACCAAGACTGTTCTCATGACAGCATGGCACTGAGCTCCACAGCATCTACCTACTAGAATTAGAGAAACATGGGGATCAAGTGTCATCTCCCAGGATAATGTTTCTCCCAACTTTTGAAGACCTCACACAATTTTTTCTATTATTATTGTTATTTCCAAAAGCCACCTAAAATAGCCTACAAGATAGCATTTATGACACACAACAAGCAGTACTGTCACAGGAACCTAGAACTGTAGAACCAGCTAGTAAGTTAGCTAATGGTAGACTACTCTTTCTTTTGGAATGGACTGGGGAAAAAGTATTACAGCAGGAAAAAAAAGTAGCATAAAGCACTGAAGGTTGTTTAAGGAAATAATCTTCTTCCCATGTCAAACATGAGAGCAGTCACCCAAAGATGAACATGCTCAGCATTCTTTTATAACTTGTTCAAAAAGCCAAGAATTACATATTAATAATGCAGGTTTCAATTTTCTGAACCCAGGTGTCCCCTATCTTATACATGGAAAGTTCTTAACAGTTAGTAAACAAATAACAAGTACATTGTTGTTTTTATTTCTGTGTAATTCAATAAAATGGTTCAGAGTTTGCATAAAAACATACTAAAAACTCCATTTTGGCCTGGTGTGGGGCACACTGCAGCACTCAAGAACATGGGCAGGATTATGAGTTAAAGGTCAGCCTTGGCTACACAGCAAGTTTGAGTGTAGTGTATGCTATGAACCTCCCTTCAAAAAAAAAAAAAAAAAAAAAAAAGGAAACACATAAAGTGGTGCTGGAGAGGTGGCTCACCAGTTACTACCATTTCCTTTTCTTGCAGAAAAAATCCAGGCTTGGTTTCCTGAACCCCTATCAGGCAGCTCACAATATATAACTCTAGCCCCAGGGGATCTGATGCCTCTGGCCTCCCAGGGTACCTTCTCTGTCATGCACATACTCACATGCAGACATACATGTCTACATATAATAAAAAATAATAAATCTTTAAAAAACAAAACCGGGGAGCCTAGTATACAAGCCAGCAGTAAAACACTTGCCTAGTGTGTTTAAGGCTCTGGGCTTGAATTCCATCCCAGAACCAATAAATAATAATGAAAAAAAACAAACACAAAGACTATAAAATATGACTCCAAATTAAAATAAAACCAATCAAAATATTAAAGTAAAATGTCATGCACTAAATAAAGACCATCTAAACCTAGCTTAGCTAAAAGTGAGGCTAAATCACTTAGGAAGGGTCTGCTTAGTTCAGTGTTCCTTCCGTAATCAAAGCATGCATCTATACGATTTTGAAACAGGAGAGACAAAAAAGGCCTTAGATTTTAGATATTCAACAAACCTCTCATTTTTAAGAAAACAGTTATGAAATAATGCAAATTTCAAAATGGCAAAAGCGAACAGACAAAATATATTCTGCAAATTAGAAAAATGCCAAAACATCTCCCCACAAAGTAAGCATTTTTAGAGCTTTGTACACTTCAAAAACAAAGAATTAGTAAATGAAGGGAAGCAGGTGAAATCCCTCCATCCATGCAGAGTGCATTCCCACCTCTTTCTGCCTGTGATGCCCACCATGTGAATTTTGATCCAATCTGAGTCCTAGCTAAGGATGCACAACAGAGAAAAATTCTTCTTGTCAGTGTTCACAACAAGTTTTTCATGTCTACATTCAAGTATGCAATTGTATGCACAGGTACACACAGATCTGACTAAACAGCCATTACCACAGCGTATAGAACAGGGTTTTCAGCTGCACTGTCCTTACAAGGTAATGCAACAGCTTACCTGTTCTGTACAGAATTGGAATATGATCTGTAGAAAGCTTATGCTCACTCCGCACCCCAATCAAGAGGGGGCTCCCTCGCCTGAAATGCAAGATGAGTCACAATCAAACCTTCTGTATAAATTATGTACTAACAATACAAAATTTAAGTATGAATTCAAAATTCATTTTAATTTGAAATGTAATGCTCTTCAAATGATTAAATTTAGAAATGATCATGATGTTCTTAGAGCAATAAGAACATTTGAGATCTACTAACAGAAGGATATCTTAAATCTGAAGGCAGGATCCTAAGGATATGTTGGTGTCTGTGTATAAATGAATGAAAATTCCACTTCACATTAAAAGGACAATTTACAATACAATGCTTCAAAATATGAGTTACATATATATATATATATATATGTATGTATGTATGTATGTATATATATATACACACACACACATATATATATACTTGTATATACATTATACTTAATGTATTTTATGTATCATACATATACATATCTATAACATGCTATCAAAACTGAATTGAACTTCAGGTATAATAAAATAACTACATTAGAAAACTGAGTCCCTAGGCCACACCTGAGTACTTCTAATAAACCGTTTTCAACTTGCAAATTACAATTACATTAAAGTTTTGCTGAGACAGTGAAGCCCTTCTTCTGCAGCTGCTTCATGCCAGCACTCTGAGTGCTGACAGAGAGGCTATATGGCCCAACAAACTCAAATAGTTGCAATCTGACCTATTGTGGAAGAAAGTTAATGCTTTGGAGCTGAAATTAAAGAATATTCCATATCCAAATTCATATAGAGCTACTGTGCTCACCAAAGACAAATGACAACACCAAAGTGTATTTGCTTTACTATGAGATTCTGTTAAAGAATGGTACAAGAAAGGAGTATATTGAAATAAACCTCTAAGGTAAACCTCTAAGAAAACAGTAAAGGGCCATTCACAAGCTACTGAGAATTACCCTGTAACCCGAATGTTTCAAAGTGCATGTTATTGTTAGTCTTACATCTATTGTACCTTGTGCCAACTGCTTGCCCAGGAAAATGAACACTTTTAAACACAAGTGCAAAAGCTCCTTCCTATGGAGGAAAAGAAACATCAACAATATTCCTTGTTAATAATTATCAAACATAAAAACATTTAAAACATACCGGCTTCTGCATGGACACTTCTGTTCACAGCAGTGTTTTTTGAACTAGTTTTTGTTCTTAAACAAGCCAATTTTAGATGTTGCAGCAAGATCCCCCTAACATTCAAGTCCACATTTTAGGTAGATACTGATTCCTGAGCTCTGGTGTGAACAAACTAACTTTTACCATCAAGCTTACTTCCAAACACTGCTTCTAAAGGCAGTCCACCTGGAAAGTCACCTGTGTGCATAGCACATTTCTCAACAGACACATATCTCTCAGTCTATTAATTTGTTCAGGAGGTCAGAATTAAAAAGATCCCAGACTCCATATCCAAAACCCATCTTTGGCCCTCATCATCATATTCCACTACTAATCTCCACTCTTTCTGCCCTCAGTCTAGGGCTTAACAATATACACAATCATAATTATTAAATGGGATGAAGCCAGACAATGGTGGCACATGCCTTTAATCTCAGCACCCAGGAGGCAGAGGCAGGTAGATCTGTGTGTTTGAAGTCCAGCTTAGTCTACATAGAGAGCTCCAGGATAGACAGGGCTGTTACACAGAGAAACCCTGTCTCAAAAAACCCAAATAAATAAACAAATGAATGGATGAATGAATGAAAGATGGCTCTCTGTTAAAAGCAATGCTGCTCTTGAAGAAGACTTGAGTTTGTTTCCCAGCACCCACACTGAGCAGCTCACAGTCACCTGTACCTCTAGCTTCAGAGGGTTCAATGCTCTCTTCTGGCCTCCACAGGCACTAATACTGATACCTGAGTCTACACATGTACACACAGAGGTGTAAGCACCCGCACACATACACACGCACGCACCAGATGCTGAAAATAAAATACCTTATAAATAAAGCTGTCTATTGTTAGAGTATTTTGAATTAAAAAAAAATGAATCAGCATGGTACCTGCTCATCAAACCTCATTTTAAGAAAATTATTTGATTAGCATTTGATTAGCATTATATTGATTATACTATTGATTAGCATTAATTAGCATAACTGTTTTGCACATGTGTATGTACTGGACATGCATGTTAGTATGTGTGTGGACACACATGGTTGTTATAGATGTGGGTGTGTAGGCACATGTGTGAGTATAGGTAGAGGCCAGAGGTTTGATGCTGGATATCTTATTCTTATTCGATTGCTCTGTGCCTTATATACCAAGGTAGGGTCTGTCACATGACCCCAGAATTTGCAGATTCAGCTAGTGCAGCCAACCAGACAGC